GGTTATCAGGCAAAGCCAAATTGAACCAGTCAGCTGTTGAAGGTCCCAATAAAATTTTTGACTTAGTCAGAAGTTTGTTGCCTGCAGAACGTGATTGTACAACACACTGAACAAATTTTATAACTAGATGTTTCAAATACATTTCCAACTCTTTTATAGCAGCATTTGTGTTTACATCATCCATCATCATCAAGTTTGTCTGTATGAAATTTCCAGTTTACTTTAGAGGACCTTGGAGCAAGCCGCTAACGATCAGATAAGATTATCTGCAATGAAAAATTAAAAATTAAATTTTGAAATAATCTATTTAAACCTTCAATTAAAAATGTGATAAACATCAGCTATAAATGGCCTCTAACTCTAAATGATAATTCTAAATGCATCTAATGTATTTCATTATAATAGTGCTCTTGAATTGTCATTCAATTAGGTAACTTGTATAAGGTATATATATATATATATCAATCAATCTTCGTTTTGCGTCCAGAGACCCGGTTTCCCGAGGTAGGACGTTGTTTTCTTTGCCATCAACTTTTTGCGCCAAATTAGACGATCAGTTGTATCCATTTCATTTAAATTTAGAGCTTTCATGTCTTGCTCGATTGTTTGCGACCAGGACTTCTTTGGACGGCCTTTGGGACGTGTGCCAGGTACTTCAACAACTGCAAGAGAAGTTATGGCACTGTATCCACTTCGTTTGACGTTTTTGAATAGCCTTCGATGTTGTTGCTTGACAGCGAAGAAATCAATTTGCGTGGCTGATGGTCCACTTTTGTATGTTATGAGATGCTCTTACCTCTTTCTAAAATATGTGTTCAGTAAACAAAACCCGTGACTTTCAGCAAACTCAAGGATGCGGTTGCCATCTTCATTCCGTTTTCCATAGCCAAAACCGCCATGTACGTTGTCAAAACCATCTGTTTTCTCTCCAACGTGGCCATGAACTAATCCTTTTAATATCCAGTACTTCTTGGGCTAGCGGTTCTCTGACAAAAATTCCAACACCATTTTTGACCATTCCAGAATAGTTTATATTTTTCTTTGTCTGAGTTGACATGACAGACACCATTCGATTTCCCTCGGGTTTCCTGAAGGCAGCAGATGTCAATCCTTCTACGCTCGAGCATTTCTGCGATTTCCATGCTGCGGCCAGTCAGTGATCCAACATTGAGCGTTCCAAGTCTAAGTACCATAGAGGGGCCATTCTGAATTTTTCTGCAACATCCCTCCGCTATTGCATACTTCCCAAGGATTCTTGGCACCCTTTGACCACTTAAGGCCTGCTGGGGACTAGGGGCCGTTGTTTTTCTTTGTGATGGCATAAGAATAATTTGGGGAAAAGTTTTTACATCCTGACACCCATCCTGACGACAACCACCAGTTATAAGCGGTGGGCCTAGCCTTAAGGTATATATATATATATATATATATATATATATATATATATATCAATCAATTTTCGTTTAGAGTCCAGAGATCCAGTTCCCCGAGGTAGGACGTATATATATATATATAAATATGAATATATATATTAATATATATATATATATATATATATATATATATATATCTGCAGCGATATCACCATCACAATCATTTTATTCATTGAACAGCTTTTCTATATACTCTTTCTATCATTTTTCTCCCCTCTGGGTCTAAAAAATGACACTTTTACTATCCTTAATGAAATTTATTCTAACAACATCCTGCCATGTGGATCTCTGATACCCTAAAGCTTTGGAAATCCGATATGATTTTTCTTTTTTGTGCAAATTCATACCAGGTTTAGGATTCCATCAGCATAAATTTGTTGTCAGGTAAAGATCTCAACTTTACTCCAAATCACCCTCCCCACTTTACTTAGGCTTGGGACTGGCATGTACGAAGAGAAGAATCATTCTTTCTTTTTGAGCAGAATTTATACATGGGGGCAAATATAAATGTAGCAGAGGTTGAGTATATAAAGAAGGACAAGATTGAGTGGACACTAAGATAAATGAAGACTGGTAAAGCTGCGGGTAACTCTAAAAGGATAACAGAAGAATAAAAAGGACAGTTAAACGTGTGTGATCATGCGAAAAGGCCAACCCAAGGCTTTTGTAAACAAACTTTAAAACGAACACTGGGCAATTGTGCCTCCCAGGGTTGAGCACCTATAAACGTAAATGATGATGGTGATAATGACAGATAAGTATATACACATAAAGCACATTTTCACTTAGAATATTTATAACCATGTGCCCGACTTAAAGAATGACAATTTTTAATGAAATGTGATAATTAATCATTTATTAGCATCTGTAAAAATATTTTTAAAATTATAGTATGAAAAAATTTTTCGTTTTTTTTCGTATGCACCACACGGTCACGAAAATGCATTGTATTAGTTGTGTTTTTTATCAAAATGTTCATAACTGCTAAGTTTCGTGAGCAACAACAACAATTTTTAAAGAAATGTGATAATTAACCCTTTATTAACATTCTGTAAAAATATTTTTGAAGTTAGAGTATGAGAAATTTTTTTTTAATTTTTTTTTCGTACACATTATGCGGTCACAAAAGTTTTAAACAGCAGGCTGTATGCTTTAGACTACAAGTAACCAGTAGAAAGTCTCATTACTGTCAATGAAGACCTAGAATTTTTTATCTGATAAAGGTACATGATAAATTGTTACTGTTATAATTGTGTGTTTGTCTGTGTATGTGTAATATAATTATGCTTATTGCCTTATATATGCCTATGATTATTTCATTATTATAAAAAAATTATTTCATTATAATAAAATTTATCATAAATATAAATTATTTAAAATTATTATTTTCTTAATTTACCGTAGTTATAAAAACAAGAAAAAAAATTATGTTGTGTTCTATTATTCAATCATTTTTTTCACATCCTGTGCGAGAATATAACATTTCATGCTATCTTAACATTAAGCGTCACTCTTGCTTAACATGACGCAAGTTAAGTTAAATAAATAAAAAATTCATTCAAAATTCGTTTTCTCTGTAACTAAAAATGTTACAATAATAAATTTAGTATTATTTTAATCAGAAAATATTGCTTTATATTTATAATAAAAAATAATTTATATAAAAAAAAATTAAAAATCCAGCAACCCACTATGACTTAATTAATGTTACTAATTTAAATAATTATACATAATTATTTATAATATAAATATAATCGATCAAACATCGAAAATGAATATAGGACATTCATCAACATTACACATTGCAAAAAAGAAAAAGTCTAAAAGCCTAAAAATTATCGGTGCCATCTTCAAGCACTTAAAATTTAAAATTAATTAAAATTAAAGTTTAAAAAAATTGACGAATATTGTCGGGAAAAATGAAAACTAACACGTACATTGTTCACGAGATAAAATAAGGCAAAGAATTGACTGATTATCTGGTGATCTGATGCGCACACAGTTCGTCAAACTTCAAAAAGAATAGTTATCTTCACAACAAATAAAAACAAATTTTCGCTAACAAGTAACGACAAAACAAATAAACACAAATTGAAGGGTGCAACTAACTGGACAATCAGATATATCACAGATATATTTTTTTAATCTATGTATTATTATTCTATAATCTTTATATATATATATATATATATATAGAATATAACATATATTTCTTATATATTTCTATATATTATTTTAATACATACATTTTTATAATTATATGATATAATTCTATTTTAATTCTATAATTCTAATTTTATAGTATATATAATTGTAATCATATGTTTAAATTATAAAAGTTACAAAACTTCAGCAATCACTTGATCATACACAAAGTCAAGATCTTTTGTAAGATGATCACAATACAAAATTACCTTTCAGACATTTCAGTATCTAGGCTTCAATAGGCCTCAACTTTTAAATAAACAACACTAACGACAAGTGAATAAACGTGCTTTCTTCAGTTATTTGCGATTAGCGATTAGTTCTTTTCATTCCAATAAATTAAATCAAAATTTCATCACTGCTAATTGTTGGTTATTTTTGACTTATTTTTTTTTTTATTTTTACGGTCAGTTTTTTTTAATTTGATGCTAGGCAGGTCTGTGATGTCCTGAGACAACATCTGGTAAAAATTTTTTTTTTAGATTAGCATTAGGATTTAGTTAGCTGTTTTAGAGTTAGACTCAAGCGAGTTTGTCTCAACGTCTCATTTTGAAACAATGTCAGTCTTGGTCTCGTTTTTTTACTGTCTTGAAACGTTTTGAAAACATGATGCAGATAGGGAGTTATTTTTTCATGCATACAATTTTTTAATAATTCAAATCATTTTTGATAAATTATTCTATAATAAACGACAAACAGATAAACCATACGTTTGAAATAATAAATAATAACATGCATGATTACGCCTGTATGCCCACATATGTAAAAAAACATATTTTGAAAAACAAATTCTCATTGATAGTGCTTGGTGAGAATCTAGCTCAAATCTGACTTAAAAATATAAATTTTCAAGGATTTTTTTAGTTTTGACGTCTCATTTTTGTCTCGAATTTTTTGTCTTACCTTTGTATGCCTCGAGACATGTTCTTTGAAGCTTCGTCTTGGTTTTGTCTTGTCTTGTCTTGTTTTTAAAAAATACTGTCTTGTCACAGCCCTTACGCTAGGCTAGCCACTAAGATAACTAACTAACAACTAACTTAACTTCATAACTAGCTAGCCACTAAGACTAACTAACAATTAACTTAACTTCTTAATTTGCTAACTTGAGTCAATGATCATATTACTAAAAATTATATATTATAAATATGATGTCATGGTGTTTAAGGGTTGCACAGATTTTATTTCTGGTTATTCTAGCTTACCCGACTATATGTTCTGGTTCTGTGTACGATCTCTAAAAAACTAAACTATTTTCATCTCTTGTGCATTTGTTTCGGTTGCAGTTTCAATATATAAAAGTTAAAAGTGAAGTCCTGAATTTGGTTTTATGTTGTCTATGTTTATGGCCTGTTGAGAGGAGACATGTCTCATAAGTATATCTCATGTGATATGTGCAGTGCACCGTCCTGGTCATTTGTAGACATTTTTGCATCTTGTGCTCATTCATAGGTTGCTTGACAAGTCATCAATGCATGGCATATTGATGTTACTAATTATACAGTTATAGTTATTTATTTAAACTTTAGATTATTTAAATTTTGTTATTGAATTTAATTTAATTTAATCAGAAATATTTTCCTGAATTATTGTTTATTTCATAAAATAAGTTACAAATACAAAGCATAAAAATGAAAGAAAATGATAATTTTGCTTATTTTCTAACTTTACAATATTAAAAAACAAAGTCACTTAGTCATTTTTCAAGTTTTAATTAAAAATTAAATAAGTTTTGACTTAATATAAAAACCATTAACATTGTTTTTTTAATATTTACCATTATTTCACATTACCACAATTTTAGCATGAAAACTGCCAAAGTTTGTACATATGTTTGTGGTTAGCCAGTGTTAAATATATATATTCAGTTGCTTCTTTGTATACACTTATTAACATTAAAAAAGAAAAAGATTTAAACAGCTGTTTATAAGATTTTTGTTCTTGGTGTAAATTTGAATGAATCATTATTATTTTTAAAATTTGATACTGTTTCTGTTATAAGGATATATTTTGTTATACAGTTATATATGATATTTATCTATCTATGCCCGCAAGGATTTTAGTGTATAATAAAATCGATATTAATGAATTGAATATCAAACAACTTGTTCAATAATCATCTTCTAGATTCTAGTAGGTGCAAATTTCTCAAAGTTTTTATAAAATACTTATATCATTATAGATTTTCATTGTTTATTAAGTTAAGAATGCTATTATTTAATAATGAAATATTAGTATTAGAAGTATTGTTTGCAGTGAAACTTTTGTTAAATTTTTACATATTAATCTTCCAGGTGAACACATATTTTTTATTGTTCCAATCCTTTTTTGAAACAATGCATAAAAATAAATTTTAAACAAAGCTGACAATTGTATCTACTGATTTCAGGCACACTGCTGACATGAGTGCTGACAGAAAGAAGAAGAAAATAATCGCAGATTATCACAAGTATCTGAAAAATGAAAAAAAAAACTTATCCGAATGGTCCAGCAGTTTGAAGAAGATCTATGAGTCAGAGGGCCAAACTGCATTAAACCCCAAAAAGTATTTCTTCACATTTACATTTAAAAAATGATTTTTGTAATTTTATATTGCTACCACCTAACCTTAGAAGTTTTATTTGGTACGTTTGAAAATGTTTCACTGCTGCTATATAATGCAAGGATATATATCTTTCTATATATCTATATTGCATCAATTAATAAAATTTATTTTCAAACTGAAATAAGAACTGATTGAAATTATTGTTTCCCAACTGGTTGGTTGTGGTCTGGTTGGGTGTCAAATGACGATTTGCCAGGTGTTACCAAAGGTGCCACAAAAAATATTTGTTTTTCAGTCCCTTCCTAACATATAAAGCATGTTATTATAGGCAATTTTACTTGCAAGTTTTTTTTAGCCTTTAATGATATAGAAATAGTTTTCATCTTTACTTCAATATTTACAGCAGACGACATGCTTATCTGGTGAAAGAGATACAACCTCAGCAATGCCGTAGCAGCAATATCATTTCTTGCGCGCAGAGATATGCAAAAATTTGTCTTCTGTACTGTAGCTAAACCATTCATCTATGCTCCATCCTTACATTTTCATAGCATGCCATCCTGGTACAGGGGATATACGTTACACAGAAAATTAAATAAACCTAATTTGCAAAGATAAAATTAATTTATTTGAAAAAATGTCTTGCCTATGGAATGTTTTCTTTGCATTTTATAAAAGTTTATAAAATTATCTAAGTAGTCTGCACTCTTTAAATTTATAAAAGTATCTAAGAAGAAAAAGTGCAGTTATCTAGGCTTAAGGAGGAAATTACTTTCTTGACTTGGGTTGCCACATTGTGGAGAAATGTATTAAAATGGTCATGGCAATTTGAACATTGCTGATTAATGGCCAATCTTATTTTGAGGTATGGAACAAACTTGAACATCCGCCCAGGGTGTAAAGTGTTTACTTCCTAACTTAGCCCTAATCCGAAACTGGTGTAATCATATAGTTGAAAAAGTAGTTGTGAGGGTTGAAAGTTTTTAGAAACCAAGTCAAATCGTTCATACAGCATGGCGGATCTTGAAGCCAACCAAGATGTTCTAATGTATATGTAGGGCAGATCTCGAAGCCAACCAAGATGTTCTAATGTATATGTATCTGATAAACGTGATAAACAGGTGGCGTGATAATAACCTGGATAACGTAACATATCAGTCATAATCAGTCACGTCTAATGATTTTTCACGTAGACACTTTTCAAGGTGGCTAATCGCATATTTAGCCAAAATTTCATTTTGTTACACCGCGAGAATAATTTCAATTAAATGAATAAAATTTAATTTGTTTGCTTATTTGTTCCCGTAACAATGTTTCAACTTAGTAAAGTTGTAAATTATGTTTGCAAATATCTACGTAGGAAAAAGATGAAGAAGAAAGTCTCTATGTATCACAATGAAATGAAGGAATTCAAAAAAAGAAATGAAGAAAAATTGAAGAAAAAACAGGTAAATAAATCTTTAAATTAAATTTTTACAATTTGTATTTATTTATTGACGATCACTTTTTGATAGGCGTTTTTAGAAAAGAAGAAGGAGATGGAAGATGCAACGAGGCGTTATCAAGCCGATCAGAAACGGAAAAGGAAGTTGCTGTACAAAAAGAATTACAAAGGCCAGCCAAAAATGGAGGCTCGCATGCAGCTGCTTCTGGAAAAAATTGAAAAATCGTCAAAATACACTCCATAACTTTTGTTATTCAATTTTTTGTTTAATGTTTGAAAAAAACGTAACTGGTTTTTCATGTTTTATTGATTTTGAAATACATATTATATTTCGTTAATAATGTTACAAAAGTATTTACAATATCAGATTTTAATTCTTTACCGAGCGGACAATATAAGTCTAACAATTGTGAACGACAAACTGAAATATGCTTATACAAGGTTAAAATTTGTTTAAAAAATAAATCTATTGCTTCAAATGGCAAAATTAAGAATGAACTATATAGAAAGAAGGAACGTAAGAAGAAATATCAGACGCTTGTGGCATGTAAAGATGAAATATCGCTGAGCATCAAATCGTGGTTGTTGAACATTTTGAATGCTACGTTGTTCGGCTGGTTACCATTGAAGTTCGTTGTGTCGTCGTCATGTGACTGTTTCGAGGTTTGTGGATCACCAGGCTTTGTTGTCTTACTGTTCTTATTATTGTTGTTATTGGTGTCGGTGTTGTTTCTAGATAGCACGTAATGCATGGGATTTATAGTAACAAATTTATCGTTGGCCATATTGTCGTGGCACGAATCAACATTCGTCGTAAACTGTGGTGGCGATTGGCCGCTGATGGACCTCTGTTTATTAGGCTGATTAATTGGCCTCTGGTTGTTGGCTTGCATCTTATTGACTGTTTGGCTGACTGGATAGAGGTATGGTCTGTAGACTGAGTCGTTGTGTGGCTGTGCATCAGGTTCGTTGGTGAATAAATTGTGAGGAAGAAACAGGAGTTGTTCATTGTTGCGGTTGTTGTTGTTGTGGTAGTTGAAGGGATTCACTTGTTGCTCTTGGTTAATCACCGATGCACCTGATGATATTGAACTTATCACTTCTATAGGCACGTTATTGTTCACGTTGTTAAAATTATTTCTGTTGTTGTTCCTATGTACAGAATTTATTTGTTTAACGTTTTTATAATGGCTGTTCAAGTCGTCGGTGGTTTTTATGTTGTGATTGTTGTGCGTGTTTGTTAAATTATTAGCACTTAATGGAGATGTTCTATATGAGAATGATGACGATGATGATACGTCGTTTTGATTGTCCAGTAAGCTATCACCTCGAGTGGAATAGCTAACATACATGGGCTCCTCGTATATGTGATGATCGAATGTTCGGTCGGATGGCAAGCCTTCGAAGAAATGGCTCAAATGAGCGGGCAGCTTGAGGAAACTTTTGCGAGTTGTTTGATGCGACTGTGGAGTTTGTTTCGAAGTGGCGATGTGATTCAACAGAACTTGTTGCTGAAACATGTTCTGATGTGGATGGTGAGGGTAGCAGGGGAACTCTAACGTGCCCTCGCTCCCTGTCATCGATGACGAGTTCGTCATATTTGCGGTGCCATCTTCGACCGATGCACTTCTTGGTCCGTTGTGTTGATTGTTAACTAGGGAACTGCTGTTACTAGCATTGTTGAATTCATCAAACGAAGCAATCTGTTTGCTAGTGAAACCGTTGCCTAGATTAGGATTGGCGAGTCCCAAGAGTTGACTCCTCCTGATTGGAGATCTCTGTAAGTCGGCAATGGAGGGGGGCGGAGATCGGGAGGGGTGAGATTTCTTACAGTTTTCGTCTGCATTCGTTTTCCTTGGTAGTTTGAACATCTGCAATATTCGTTTTGTTTATTAGTGAAATTTCTAATTTCAGACAAATTTAAACAAAGTATATCAAATAAAATTTAGCTAAAAATTTGGTAAAATTCTACATCGGTAAAATAGTTCGCTGCTCTTTTTAATGATTAAAATCTCTTATCAAAACACTAATTCGTCTTGATTAGGTTCTCACTCCTCTGTTACCCTATCGTCATTCGAATATTGGTGTATATATACAAACTTGTTGTAGTATGGTAGCAGTTGGACTCGGTTGTCTCTTTTGTTTGCCTCCGTCCTTCTGCTGTTGCTTGCATCGTCTGCAGATCAGACAGCACGCAATGACCAGTGCTGTGACAATCAAGAGACCGGCTATTGCAATGCCAGCTATTCCGCCATCGTTCAATGAGCCCAACCTTCCACTTGGCACTGCCAAATATAAACAACAGGAGGCGTGCAGTTAAGTTAACCGAGGAAAACTTTATATACCGCAAGCATTAAAATTAGTGCATTGGATATTTTCATTTTGTTTAAAATATGAGCCATGAATGCCACAAACAGACAAACGAACGAACGAACGAACAAACCTGCTCGACAGTTGTGTTCGTCGGACCCATCAGCGCAGTCGTTTTGTCCGTCGCACATTTCTTCCAACTTGAAACATCCCATCATGTTGTCACACATTCTCTCGACAGATGGCAGACAAGATGCTTTGTTGTTTTTAGTGTTGTTGTTGTTGCTGTTGTTGAATGATGACGTCGACTTGCTGATAATGCTGGATGTTGTTGGAGGAATTCGTGAGGACGTCGACGAGGCAACGGTTGGTGGAATTGTTGTTGTAGTCCTTGTTAAGACAGTTCGATCTGAGTGAAGAAATATTCTGCAGTTCTTAAAATTTTCACACACTTGCATCAACGCCAATAAACTCTTGATTCCTCTGCACTGGCATGCAAACGAAAAACTTTTATGAATTGTTTAAAAAGAAAACGATATATTTTTGAAAGTGTCATTAGATTAGATTAGATAGATGTCAGATCAGATCAGATCAGATGGATATTATTAACCTAAGAGACTCTCAAGACGTGGATTCTCCTCGTCACCATGATATATTTCCTCCACAAAGATGTTGCACTTGCTACCCAAACCTTCTATTACGATCTGATTGGATCATTAAATTATTAATTATTATTACGATTAATAATTATTACGATCTGATTGGATCATATCTACAATTAAAAATTATTATTAATTTCAAAACTTATTTAATTAAAGACCACAACTCTTGCATGTAAACTAAAAATTGTAATAAATACACAAACACTGCATATGTGCAGAAAATGAACACAGATTGCAACGCAGTACACACAAAAACACACACACATACACAATAGACACACGTAGAATGTACGAATACAAAACTACCTGGTAAGGGACGGTTTGTGTGATCTGAAGATGTATGGTGTGCCACCTGTCTGTAACAGTACTTTCAACGCCATCCATCACCAGCACAACATCCGAGTTGTACAGTTTCAACAAGTAGACATTAAAATAACACCGACCGCTACTGTCATTCCTGGTTTTTATATAATATTTCAAGTAAAGATGTTGTACGATGTTGTCGTCCTTGTTGTTTTCATCGTCGTTGTTGTTGTTGTTATCGTTGTTGTTGTTGTAATACAAATAAAACAATGGACTGATAAGCAATCCTCTAGAAGTTCTGGCTTGACTCAATGCCAGATGAGCGAAGCCATGGTGGACGTCTGTGTTTAATACAAAAGAAAATGTCTGCTGAGATGCTGATGTTGTAGATGCAATCATTTAGGAATCATTTACAACTACGCGATACGTTTTCGATACATTGAAACCAATATGCTTCAAGCCACTATTTTGACAGTGGCCTTTCACTTTCCTTCTCCATTAGAAAAGGAAACTGGCTGGAAACATCCACGTTGAAAAATGATCTCTAATTCAATTATTTTGCCAAAATTTTAAAACGTGGGGAAACAATTTTAAAATGTAAACTCAGTTTCTTTTTAAAAGAAAAGAAGAAAAAACAAGTAAGAAAGGTAATATGCAACATAAACCTGAAGTGTCAAAGAAATACACCCATGTAGCGTCGATTTGTCGTTGCTGCTGTGAAATGATGTCGTTGATATCGCTGGCCACACCATCCAGCAGGCCAGAACTCCATGCACACAAGTCAGAAACGAAGACGCACGACAGCACACCTGTGTGTTGTGCAGTGCAGTGCTGTGCAAGAGATAACTTTCACCACACATAACCTCTCGTGACATTTTTACGTATGAAAACCAAAAAAAACAATCAAAAGTTTCTTTCATTCTTGCAACTTCACTTTTATTTCATTAACTTTGAAGTAATGATACTTACCTTATGCATATTTAATAAAGGAACTGTCAGGATAAAAATATAAAGCCATCAATTACTTCTGAGTTTCCCACTAAGATATTCATAGCCATTACATTGGAGGAGAGCATTAACGTCACAAGCATCAACAGTGCAAATAAGTAAGGAAAAATTTAGAAAAATCACTAGAGAAGACTGATGATGCTGAATTGAAACTCACTTCTCGAGCACATCCCTTCCGCAATGCTGAAGTACTTGAAGATCATGTTAGAACTGAGAGCAGTACCCCTGTCTGCCGGCTGTAAGACATTCTTGAGGACGACTTCAACGTTGTTCGATACGTCCTTCAAGTCCAACTGAACTGATGTCCAGTCGGCAGCGTTCGGTCGGTGGGATAGATATTGAGTGTACTGCGGCCTCAGGTCACCTGATGTTCGGACGTACACTTCAATTGAGGCATTGAACGGGGGGCCCGTGGACAGGTACCAGAAGGAAAAGCAGAAGGAGTGTGTGGGCAGGGTGTCGGACGTCGCCCTCCTCATTCGCGTTATGTTCATGTATGAAAGGCTCGATGTTGTTTTCAACGAGGTGCTGTTGTCTGTATGTGTGTGCATGTATGTATGTATGTATGCATGTGTGTGTGTGTGTCTGTGCGTGTGTGTGTGTGAGCGTGTATGTATGTATGCGTGTATGTATGCAAATACGTATGCGTATGTGATATTTTTTCCCTTGATTACAATCAAATACTAATGAGAATTAAAATGAGACAAAGACATTGCTTGAGATAACAAAGAGATGAAACGGTGGTGATAATGTGGGAAATGTTGTTAGAGTAGCAAATCAAACGCTCAAGTGCTGCTGCTGCTGCTGATGATGATGATGATGAGAGGAAGGATGATGATGATGGGGACCGTAGATAATAACGATGATGACGATGATGAAGATGATGATTATAGCAATCGTTGCATTGGGAAAACAAACTGAAATGAATTTTTCATCTTCAGGCTCTCTAACCTTGGAAAAATGTTGAGCTTATGTCCTTCATTACATTCATTCCATCGATCCTTACGTCGCACGTACTTGCGCCACACAATCTGGTAGTGGCAGTTGTCAGGTTGGTGTTAGTGTTGTTGCAGTTTTTATTAACATCACTTGGGTTAGTAAATAATGATAACAACAATATGAGTGAGGCGATGAAATTTATTTACCAAGATAATGATTACACCCACCACCATCCACAACACACACACACGCACACACATACATACGCACACTCCCACACACACATACATACGTACACACACACAGACACACACACATCCGTACACAACACACGCGCGCATCACATACTATTACTAACACACACAATATGTAATGGCATGGTCAAGCATGCAAGCAAGCATGGAAGAGGTGTGGACAATTGCAGGATAGGTCCTTATATAAATGTATGAAGGTTGCTATCGCAAAATGTAAATAGGATAAAACTGGGTGCAATAGTTTAAGTGCGAGCACATACATAATTAAATGTTTCTCATATGCATAGTCCAACCTAAGTCAGATTACTCATTCATAATAAATGGTGTGCATATGTTTGCCAAACAAATAAAAGTGCACAACTGTGTGCGTGTGTGTGTGTGTTCGTGTGTTCGTGCGTGTGTACCCCAGCAGTACAAACATTCACCTTAATGAAAATGTGCATGCGCGTAGCATAAATTGTTCATGAAACTTAACATGATCTGAGCTGAACAAGTGTTTTTGAAATTGAGAATGAGATCAACAAGACGTTACACTGAGGAGTTTTATACACACACACACACACACACGCACACACACACATACGCACACACACACACACGCACACACACACACACGCATAAGCATCTGTGTACCCAACGTTTATATAAAAACTTTTATATAAAAAAGTAAAAGAGGATAGATGAGTGGAGCAGTGGGACTGATTGATGGACAGGACAATAAAAAACACTCCACCCTGAGAAACTTGCAAACAAACAGGTGTGTGTTCGTTCAAGTGCGTCGTGTTGCTATAAAACAAACGGATAACACACACATACACACGCCCGCACACACACACACACACGCACACACACACACGCATTCAACTATGGAAGAGGTGCGAAGAAGACAGAGAAGATGTTGATATGATGTTTCATGAACAACCTGCTTCATGTACATACACTGTATAGTACAGCACATGGAACAGTGTTTCATCATCGGATGGTCGCTGTAGACGTCTGACAGAGGCATGCAAACTGCAAGTGGAGTCAGCAGGATTGATGGGATTCTCTTGGGAGCCAACTCAACATCAATGCGGAATGTTAGTATCCTGAACTACATTATCACTACCAACTCAACAGACTTTCACACAACCGACGAATCGTCTCGATGATGAAAACATCATGATGATAGAACCGAAGATGCACAAACAAATATGCAGTAATATAAATATTATTTAATTCATCTTTGGTACAGAAAAACAACAACTGTGTTTGTTCAATTTATTAATAACTAATGTTTACCATGGCATGTTTGCAAAGAGGTAATAATCTACGAGCGAATACACGCATGTAGTTATGTTTTGACATATCTCATTATGAACTGCACCAAGCCAACATCCATTTCAAATGCGTCGTTGAATGTTTCATAAGCTTGCATTCACATACATAACAAATGTAAACACTCAAAAAGTTAACTGACTAGTGAGTAGTGGAGCAGGCATTAGGCTAAAATAATTGTATTATTTCCTGGTTAATTCACTTGAATGTTATTTGGCCACATGAGGACAGTGACTTGTGGAAGAAATGATCAGAAATGATCACAATAAAAGAACGCGGAACCAGAAAATAAGAAAATATGCGAACCCCCGTCATTCATACATATAACTGCATCTACACGTGTGTGCGCGCGCACACACACACGCACGCATACACACACACGCACGCACACATACACACACACAACATGAACAACTATATTAATAATATTACAGAAAACAGTGGAGCCGAAACATTAACATCTCATCTTCTGTCACAAATTCATAAGTCATCTCACTCTGCTGCTGCTGTGACTGTGACTGATGTGTGTGAAAGAAAGTTGATGCAATCAACTGAAGGAAGAAGAAAGAGAAGAAAGATAGAGTAGCAACAAGATGTAATTACAAATAATAGGCAGCATTGAGCCAAGGTTAAGCAAATGTAATTCACCCAGACAATCACACACACACAGACACACACACACATGAACACATTTTACAGGCCTGAAGGTGCCTCATTATGTAAGTCTATTTATTTTAAAGTAATTGCTTTCTTAATTAAAGAGGGATGCGCTGAATTACTATCTGAAGACTAATTATAACTTCAGAATTAAAAGATTCTTTGAAGATTTTTTTTAAAGAGGATGTTGTTTGGCTAAACTTAACATTAATTTTTTAATAACTATCACAGTGAATGAACATCAATTTTTGAACAATTATCATACTAAACAACAAGCAAGCGCAAAAGAAAGAGTAACCTTTAACCTTTAACCTTTATTAAACAGAAATTTTCTAATAAATAGCCACAATATTTACCAATACAACGTGGGGAGTAACAACAACAATAAAAAAATGTCACCAATCAATATTTACGATAAAAAAAAGTTATATCCATCAAAAACAGGTGACAAAAATCAATGGGAGAAAATAGTGTGAAAGTAATTGCTGAATTAGCACAAGCAACAAGCAGTGTTATGTTATTTATTGTAGTAGTAGCGAATGATGCATAAGCAAGAAGACATATGCAATTAACCTACTGGTGTTCACAAGCTACTAGAGGAGGATCAGTATTGGCATTGTTGTTGTTGTTGTTGCTGTTGTTGATGTTGTTGTTGTCGTTGTTGCCATCGTTCTCAGTCTTGCTGTTGGTTCCTTTGATGGTTTCAAAATCAAATTTATACAATGAATACAACTATCTGTTTTGTTTGATCCATCCTAGTACCCCACTAAGCAATACCTCGAGACCAGACCAATTGAGTTGAGACTAAACAAACTGTTGCAGCAACAATGGCATTTGACGTCATAGCAAGCAACTTCGATCACCATCATCAAAAGCATCACAAATACCAACAACAACAACAACAACATCAACAACATCAACAACAACAACATGAAGCCTACTCACCTGGTGGACACCTGGCATGCAAATAAGTTTCATCAGAGCCATCTCCACAGTCGTCGAATGCATTGCAGGTGAGGCTGGCGTCAATGCACCGGCGGTTGAAACACATCCACTGACCATTACTGCAGTTACCTGGACAGGTTAGTTGATTGGTTTGTCAGTTGGTTGTTTGGTTGATTGATCGATCGGATAGTTCGTTTGTTTGTTAGTTGTTTGGTTGGTTAGTAAGTTAGTTAATTGTAATATTATAAAAAACATTGCTTAATTCAAGACAAATGATTTCCATGCATGAAATGTAAGACACCGTAAAAATCCTTGATACGACATCATCAACAATATTGATAAGAAATTTTAATTAAAATTTTTCCAAAAATTTTTCAAAACAGAAAAAAAATGAACTGAGTATGCCATTCAACTGAAGAGACATCTCATGAAACAGATGAGCAACCAGCTCACCAATTGTATAAGCTCATCATACTCTACGCTACACTTAGAGCCACGTCGGAGATTATTTCAAACATAATAAATTCATTTTTAATTTTATTTTTCACTATCATTTAATATACTTACAAATTTCGTTTAAATTTATTAACGCTTCATAAATTAAAGAAAAGATGTTGTTTAAAATGCGGAGGCAAAGAAACTGATGATACATGACACGATATATGTTGTTACATTTCCAAGTTACATTCGCAAGTTACATCGTTACATTCGCAAGCTAGACTGCTGCTGAACTATATTGTAGTGATGACATAAAAAAATATTTTAAAAGGTCTTGTCAGTGATAATAGGTGATGTATGAAGTGTGACTAATGTTTACATGAAGTATGAGCTCTGTGTGGCTGGCTGTTGTTTGATGTATGCACGTATCAATTAAACATGAACGTCAGTTTTGTGTTTGCAAACCTTCATATATCATGCGTATATGTACGCACACACACGTACGCACACACACGTACGCACACACACGCACACACACGCAATTGGTATAAGTGTATGTATGTGCGCATACCTGGGTGAAAACATCATATTTTACTACATACATTGCACGCTATTTGCAAGAATTTATAGAGATATGGAAGATATATTTTCACGTTTGAAGTGTTTATATATATATATAATTATATATATATATATAATATATATATATATAACGAGAGAAAGAGAGAGAGAAAAAGAAAGAAAAAAAAAGAGAGAGAGAGGTAGACAGAGAGCGGAAGAGGACAGAAATTATTATTATTTCTCATTCAATTAATTCCAAAAAGATCTGGAAAACACACAGAGTTCATATGAACCAAATTCATTTTGCTTTTGAACCCAGTCAGTGCAGGAGAAGGACCAGACAGACAGACGCCTCAACCAGCACACCATCTCGCAGTCCTACCATCCTATCCTCGTCCCCCATCCTGAATCGTCGTCGTAACGAATGCAATTGGATGGGGCAAACGAACCATAAAATAATGCAAGTGATTTACAGGCAGGTACTTGGAGATTGATGAAGTGCAGTTATGCTAACAGTGGAACATGACTGTTCCATAAAACTGTCAATTTGTTGAGGCTCTATTAGATAATAATATTGATGGCGCTAGGATATGCGAGCGTGCAAATAAACCTTTTGTCATTTGTCTCGGAATTAATATTGCGTCATAAGAAAACTGCGCTGTTGATGTGTTACACGCACTTAGAGCTAACCAACGCTCATCCCTCAGGATTGTAAGTAGGAGATTTACAGTCCCTACATTAGTCTTTTTCATCTTCTTTCTTCCTACTTTCTCTCTCTGTCCTTTCTCTCTCTGTCCTTTCACTTTGTTCCGCTTCTTTCTTTCTTCCGCTTCTTATCTCTTTCTTTCTTTCTTTCTTTCCTTCCTTCTTTCTTTCGGCACTCTCATAGCCGATTTGTTTGTATATGATCATTGAGTATTAAAAGTTAGATAGAAAAGTTGAAGTTGTTTGAAAAGGTTATGTAAATATCAGCACGCAGATGAGATTGCAAAAATGAAACTTAACAGATTCATACGCACAACTGAGCTGTATGAGCTACTATGGAGCTACTTTTTAAGCTGAAATGAATCATAATTCATTATTGTAAAATATCTCTGAAAAATTACGACAAAGACCCATGCTATTAAATGTTACCGAAAAAAATTATTCAAATTCTTATCTTCATACACCAGTATAATCAAATTAACAATACTGAATCATTAAGAAAAACATCAATGGTGATGTTGATAGATGATATCGACGGATGGGTGGATGGTAGATGAATGGATGATGAATGGATGATGAATGGATGATGAATGGATGATGAATGGATGATGAATGGATGATGAATGGATGATGAATGGATGATGAATGGATGATGAATGGATGATGAATGGATGATGTATGGATGATGTATGGATGATGAATGGATGATGAATGGATGATGAATGGATGATGAATGGATGATGAATGGATGATGAATGGATGATGAATGGATGCACGGATAATGAATGGATGAATAGTTTGTTATTATTTGCATGTCTGCATGAGTGAAATACAACACAACTGAACGAAATTTTCATGACATTCTGACAAAGCACAGTTTAGAAAATTGAAATATAAAATTTCAAGTAAATATATGAAAAAAAAAATTTGTGTGAAAGCGAAGAAATGAACATGAGAAAAAGTCATAACAAAGAGCCACATTGTTGTGATACACAATTGAATCTCACTGTGACTTGAATGTTATTTTTGCTAAACCACGCTAATTTAACATTAAATAGATTTATTCAGGTTAAACTTGCCTGGCACAGCAGACACAAAAACACACAAACGTACTTATCTGATCAACAGATATCTGCTCTATATCTGTATATGTGTATACAATAAATGCATGTGTGTGTGTGCGTGAGTGTGTGTGTGTGTTGTGTGTCTTTATGCACAAATGTTATTTATCAATCTTTGAATCTGATAAGATATAATTTTATTTATTCATTTATTAACTACGTATGCATGCAATATCAGTTGATATTGTAAGAAGTTTTAAGGCGAAAATAAAATTTGTGCACATTTAGATCAAATTTTTTGATGGTGTCACCTACAAAAATGCTTTCTAGTATAATAAAATATTCACTCTTTAAAACATATTCGAGTATAAACTTTTCAATTTAAATTCATTCTAAATTCTATTTATGATACAATTAAATAAAATTTTAAAAAAATGTACCCCTACCAACACAGCACAAACAAAGCAATGATGTGAAGGTGAATGTTAAGACCTACCTGGATACTGGTGGGAGAAGTCTGTGGTGTTGTTGATGATGCTGTACTCAAAATAAAATCCTGCCCCGACCACACTTGAGTCACTCACGAACTTCAACTCGAATGTTTCCACATAATTCAGGCTCCCTGGTCACATTTAATGAAGAAATATTTCAAGAAGACTTGTATTACAAAAGATCATACGCCACAAACATACCACAAACTCAAACGAACTCTGAAACTATTTAAAAATAGCTGCGAGTGTCTTTCAAAGTTGTGTCTGATATCTGTTATTTCAACATACTTCTCAAGGGAGATTTGAATTATGATGATGATGATGAACATGGGATGATGGTGACGATGGTGGGATGATGATGATCGTGTGATGACGATGATGATGATGATAGTGGTGTGAAAAGACCGGTATTCTGGCAATAAATGACAAAACAGGTTAAATGCAGAGCAAACACCAGCCTGCCTGCCCTAACAGAACAATAGTAAAACTAATTGAATGCATTAAGGTATTAATCCAGCCTTAATCCTAATAAAAATATTTATTCAACGCAGGGAGGATAAGCGGAGAAGGAAGAATAAAAATGAAGTGCGTGTCTGTGCAGTGCCTCACAAGCCCTCCTATTTCATACATGCCTCACATCATTCACTCGGTCTCACGCTATCAACATATTTTTAGTTTGTTGATGGAATATAATTAGATATTAAGGAACTCAAATTAATTATTTTAAGCTGAAGCTGAATCCACATAAGCCTTTCCGACATTACAAAAAATTTGAATATATAATATATAGAATTAAAGATTGCATAACAGAAACACCCATGTTTGTAAAATAAATTTATTGAACCAAATAAAATTGCAAAGCTTCTAAAAATAATTGTGATTGATGGCTGACCCTAATAAAATGTTGTACATTATCATACGATATGTGTATACATTACCGTGTTAGATGAAACTGTGTGAGCCGGTTGACAAGAGAGAATTTTAATAACAAATATATTTATTGCCTCTGCCACCCCATCCCATACAACATAAATGCATACAGGTACATACATGCACACATGTAGATGCTAACATGTAGATGCACATATCAATCCATGTATCATGTCAAACATTTGAAGTGCAGAACAAATATTTGCTGGGCCTCTTAACTTTATATATAATTTATAAGACCTCCAATGCATCGAGGTAAATGTTTAAGATATCAATTCCAGGCATTCACTTATTAAATAAATGTTTAACTTTTCAATGACAACGAAATTACAAATGAAAAAAATCTCACAGCAAAGGTTGTTGACCCACAATGATGACGTTGGTTGCTTCGGGTCGTACAGTCCCTTCTGCCACAGACCCCTGCCGCAGTATTTATTGTCCTCAATCTGCAAGTAGTCGAATGTGCAGTACGCAATCGACCTCTCCAGATCAAACCTTCTCGTTTTGAAACAAATTTTTTTAGAAGTCGTGTACTGGGCATCACTGAAGTAGAACTTGTATGTGCAGCTGAGGTTGTTTATGTAATCGAATGGATAGTTGAAACTTTTTATGACTCCGTTAGTTATCCTTCCAGAGTAAGATTGGTTGCAGGCATCTGTGTGAGACAAATCATTTCATGCTGTCATTAACGTTTATTAGGTGCTACAACGCAACAGCCACATTTCGTTGATTCGAAAGTTTAAGCGTGCCATGCATTCGTGGCGAACGGCTATTTCTCAATGACGCAGTGAACAAATGAACAGCAAAGTTATGACAATCAGAGTGTTCAAGTCGGAGATTTTGGCCGGTGTCGGAATTTTGTAAGGAATTTTGTTTATCCGACTACGGAAAATGTTATTTATTTTTTTTAAATTTTTTAAAAATTTTCAAGATTGTGTCTTCAGAGGATAAATATAATATAGCGATAAGCAATCATCTCAAATACTGTAATGTGAATAAAACCACATAACTTTATTTCACCATTTAAACATAAAAATAAAATAGTTTTACTGAGAAAAACAATTACATTGACTTATTTTAAGTGTTTTCTAAAGTATTTTTTATTTAGTAGTGATAATAAGGTGAAATTATGATACAAAAGTTGAAAATTTTTTCAGTATGTTTTAAAACATAAAAATAAAGTAATTTTACTGAGAAAATCAATTACATTTACTGATTAACATGTTTTATTACGTATTTATTATTTTAAAATGACAATAAGATGAAATTATGATGCAAAAGTTTAAATTTTTTTTGGAATTAGGAACTCGGAGTCGGGGTCTGAAATTTTTACTCGGAGTCGGATACTGATAATAATTGTTGCAATTCTGCTCTATGATCAAACATGATCAAATGCAACTTATTCAAACATGTGGTCTTCGAAAACAATTCAATAACCAACAACCATCAGTAATTAGCATTTATAATATCGGCATTTAAAAATTTAGTTACAGATTAAAACAAATTTCTGACGAGAATAGTTTTGGAGGGAAGCTCAGACTAGGCGCAGGTACGTGCCCTACAAACACCAAATGTTAAAAAATCACTCAAGCAAATACAAACTCCTGTTCATGTGCATCCAACTCCATGCACTAATAACATGTTACTCTGTTCATAAATATGAAAGATATGGAAATGTTTCAAAACTTTCCACCCATGAAACGTTTGCCGATCACCCTCCACTTAATCTCAAGCCACCTGTATCAAATGATATGTCAGGCTGTACAAACAAATTGTTCATTTTATGTACATCTACATTTCTGAAACTCAAGTAAAACTACAAACGACGCGGGATCAGAAAAATTTCATTCAAATTAAAATTACAAATTTGTCAAATGCATTGTAGTTTAAATGTTAAAAAACATAAACAAAATGCAAGCGCCGACGCACACACACACATACACACACAGAGACATATTTTTTGTATGTACATAATCGCAAATGCATAAAATTCAAGCAATCAACCAATTTTGTTTGTGTGGTCTTTTGATAGCCATCCATCCATCTATCACATTTCACAGTTTAATTTATGTAACTCAATGTTTATTAAGTACAAAAGTACCAGACATAAAGCTAGCATTTGACAAAAAATTGGAGACATAAATTCCACAAACTCTAATCTAACTAATGAAACATTCATGCAACACCTACAACAATGGACCAACCACATACAATGTTACCAATGAAATTAAATGAATGATTGATTGAAGAAATACACATCACAATGCCTCTAATTTTTCAGTGAAAGTTCTTATTTACTGATGACTGACAGATAAATGAAACTTCAAAGCAATTAAATTGCATTTTGTTTCCAACATTACAGAAAAATTAGATATATACTTGAAATAATTAACACAATCAATACTCCCTCTCTCACTTATTCTTCTAAAAACAGTGATCAATAAAATAAAAAATTTACTTTATTTAATAATGTCTCAATCTAATAACATTCAACTTTTTTATCTTAATTTATAAAAAAAATTGGTTGATGTTTGTTTAGCATTGCCAGTCTGAGTTTATCTCTGACAAAGTCAGTTTATCATTTTCATAGTGCTGTTATAATTTACATCTTATCTTCTAATGTTACCATTTTATAGTTTATACCATACACTCACTGTGAGCAATCACACATAGTAACATAGAATATAGATCATGCTTGATTATATTATATTATGGCTTATTTAACAACAATTTATCAATTAATTAAAAATTTAATCTAATATAAATATATATATAAATATATATCAAATATTATTAAAGTATTTATTTATATTTATAATATTTAAAAAACGAAACAACAAAATACTTTAGATAGAAACAGGAAACAGAGAGAGAGAGAGAGATAAATTTATTAGCCTGCAAACGAATTTTAAAAATTTAATTAGTGCGTGAAAAGAAGATGATCCCCCAGGCTAGATGGGATGTTGTGAGTGACATGATGACGTTGTCTGAGTTGACTGTTGTTGAGACAAGATGAGTAGTCAAGATCAAGACAAGATTGTTTTAAAAAGTTTCTTTGAAAATCAAGATTAAAAGTACAACTACCAATTTTAACATCAAAATTGAGCTAACGTACGAGCTAAAAATAACTTTCTCAATCGTTGTTATACTAAATATAGGCCGTGTCCGGTTATTAAAATGTTATAAAAAAAAAAAAGGAGGCTAGCAGACTACATAAAACATCAAATTTGAAAAAATTTTTATGAAGGAAATTTAAGTAAATACTATTTAAAAGTTAAATTAAATTAATAATAAAATAATCCCAGTTATTCTCAGCATGTATGTCATAGCGCTCTAACGGTGATATAAAACGAAAGATGAATGAATCAATCCATCACCAATCAGTGACCATTATAAAAAATTTGAACACATAATCGTCATAATGACATGCTTCATTTCAGTAATTCTTATTTTAATAAATAAAAATCACTAATATGAAATATCGGCATTTCTTATTTTGCGTGGTGGAAAACGTAGATGATGATCATCAGCATGAAATTGAATCGAACCCACGTTAAAAATATTGATGAGCAGTTTCAAAATGTAAAACTGTTTCCAAAAAAACGGCCAGCAAAAAGATTCAGAGACCAATCAGCAGAACGGAAGTGGCAGCAGCAGAAGACGCGGAAATGAGCAAGTTAGAAAGTCAGGATTGAGAAGGTAAGATGGATGACTATGTAGAAAAAAAATATTTTAGCAAACATTTATTTTCCAACAAATGCAACCGTTATAAATTTTTTTAACTTCATTACTTTGTGAGTAGAGAAAAAAAAGATAACCGTCCTTTGGCGTACTATATTGTATTATCTTTGCTTTTGGGCATGTCTGCATAGATCTCGAAATAAAATATTGATAGGTACATAACCCAAAACGAGTTCGTTAGATGTTTGTATTTTGATGACGTCATACTTAAATGATAATAAGCAGACCATGAAGCACCACAAAAAACTCCTCTAAACTAATTTCTTTCCTAATAAGAACGAAATAAATAGAAACAAAGAAAACAATTTCAATTTTATAATGTGCACCTAAAAGGCATTTATCGATCAAACGGGGAATTAAAAAACAAGCAAAAGTTGCTTAATAATAGTCATAGTGTCACCTCGTTCGAATTCATAAGTTTTCATTTATTTAAAACTGTAAATTATATTGGAGAAACTTGTTCCACGTGTTATTAAGTTTCATTTAATTAAATATTAATTAATTAAATGTTTTTAAAATTTTATTTTATTAAATCATGTCATGGCACAGACCACGATCCAATGCATGTAAAATGTAATAAACGTAAAAGATTCATTAAATGGATCCTAAAATAAATAAATGTGTGTGTGTGTGTGTGTGCACATCTTAATTAATAAGAGCGAGAGAAATTGTTAAATAAATCACTCAAACGTCAACAACTTGTTTGTTCATTTGATTTTCTTAAAAATCCCATCGCTTATACACCCTTACTTACATAATAACAAAATTTGTAGCCTGCAGTTAATTTAGTTAACAACATCATCACAAGATACAGAGCCTCAGTTTTACTGAGTAAATATTTCAAAAAAATAATTAAAAAACAAACAGAAAGGACTCTCACTAACCAGCAGAATATGGTGTTATCCATAGCAAGACGACCACTAAAAACATGGTTTCATATCCTCAAACATTCGTTGCTAGAAATAAAAATTATTTACACAACAAAGTATAAAATTTTAGTGACAAAAACATTGAAAGTAAGATCACAGACAGGACCAGAAAACAAAACTTTATACATTTCATTCATTTCACAGAGCATGCATTGTATGTTGACGACTGCATTTATACTACTTGTTGAATGTTACGAACGTGTGTGCGTACAATATATGTAAATATACAGCTTGTATATCATATATGTACAACTTATAATAAAATAATATATGTATATATAAATAATTTATTATTTAATTATTTTTATTTGTTTAATTCTAAGTTTGTCGTTAGTCATAGCATGCTGAACTGGGCAACTGTTTGCGTGTATTTTTTATTTCAATTTATTTTCGAATTATGTCCTTATCCAGAAACGATAAGCGAAATGAAGTTTATAATTTTTTTTTAATATTTATCTGATATGCTAATTCTTATTGTGCTGCTAGATGTGTGTCAGTATCGTTCACCACATACTGTACACCACAAACACACAACAAACATAACAAAACACGCCATACAACAAACACACCATACAACAAACACACCATACAACAAACACAACATGCAACAAACACACCATACAACAAACACAACATGCAACAAACACACCA